TTATTATGATTAGTAGTTTTTATTGTAATTATGATTAGTAGTTTTTATTGTAATTATGATTAGTAGTTTTTATTGTAATTATGATTAGTAGTTTTTAAGGTTATTATGATTAGTAGTTTTAAGGTTATTATGATTAGTAGTTTTCAAGGTTATTATGATTAGTAGTTTTTAAGGTTATTATGATTAGTAGTTTTTAAGGTTATTATGATTAGTAGTTTTCAAGGTTATTTTAAAATCTCTTCCTAGATTTTGGAAGCAGCAGACAGGATACAAGCTTTTGACATGAAGAAACATGCACTAAATTTGGTCGTCCACCATTTCCCTAAGGTGAGCATAATTATTCAAACTTATTAAATATGACTGAAACTGTTCAAAATCAGTTAACCTTGGTGGTCCACCATTTCCCCAGGTTGAGTAAAACTATTCAATATCACTTAACCTTGGTTGTCCACCATTTCCCCAGGTTGAGTAAAACTATACAAGTTCACTTATCCTTGGTTGTCCACCATTTCCCCAGGTTGAGTAAAACTATTCAAGATCAATTAACCTTGGTTGTCCACCATTTCCCCAAGATGAGTAAACTATTCAACATCAATTAGCCTTGGTTGTCCACCATTTTCCCAAAGTGAATGAAATTATTCATGATCAGTTAACCTTGGTGGTCCACCATTTCCCCAGGTTGAGTAAAACTATTCAATATCAACTAACCTTGGTTGTCCACCATTTCCCCAAAGTGAGTAAAACTATTCAAAATGAGAACTATTACACAATTTTCCAACAAATGTACCATTTCTTACATTTTGACTGGAAAGTAACTGTCAGTATTCATATCAAATCCTCCAAAATTTCTGTAACTTATTGAGATTTTGTGTTTCTTTTATTACCCGTTTGAATTAAAAAAAAAAGATAGTGATGTACTGATTCTGTAGAGAAAAGTCTTAGTGATGGAAGGAGAACTGAGTTAAAACATAGATTATGGTGTTTAAAAACTCCATTTGAACATGAAACAGCTATCAATATTATCTTTTATAATATTTTATGGATAGTTTTATTTGTAGCTAATTATCATTATTTTCACTTTTCTTAAACTTTAAATACTTAGAACAACGTAATTGAATGTTTTGGTATTTTTTTTTCTTCTTGTAATTATTACAGCAATAAAAGATTCACTTCTTTGTATTACAGGTGGCTCGACTTCCTCGAATTCGAAGTCTAAGTCGGGAACTTCTAATTGATATCTTGGAAGCCCTTGCAGATGATATGAGTGAGTCGAAACTTTGCCAAGACATGTCCTCTGCTAGTCTGTGTGGTGATTCTGTGTAGACTTGGTAAGTCCAAACTTTAGGATACGTGTTGGCAAAGTTTGGACTTATCAAGTCTACACAGACTAGCCGAGGACACGTGTTGGCAAAGTTTGGACTTACCAAGTCTACACAGACTAGCAGAGGAGATGTGTTGGCAAAGTTTGGACTTATCAAGTCTACACAGACTAGCCGAGGACACGTGTTGGCAAAGTTTGGACTTACCAAGTCTACACAGACTAGCAGAGGACATGTGTTGGCAAAGTTTGGACTTACCAAGTCTACACAGACTAGCAGAGGAGACGTGTTGGCAAAGTTTGGACTTACCAAGTCTACACAGACTAGCAGACTACGTGTTGGCAAAGTTTGGACTTACCAAGTCTACACAGACTAGCCGAGGACACGTGTTGGCAAAGTTTGGACTTACCAAGTCTACACAGACTAGCAGAGGACACGTGTTGGCAAAGTTTGGACTTACCAAGTCTACACAGAATCACCACACAGACTAGCAGAGGACATGTCTTGGCTCTACACAGAATCACCACACAGACTAGCAGCTTGGTAAGTCTAAACTTTGCCAACACGTAGTCTGCTAGTCCGTGTAGACTTGGTAAGTCCAAACTTTGCCAACACGTCTCCTCTGCTAGTCTGTGTAGACTTGGTAAGTCCAAACTTTGCCAACACGTCTCCTCTGCTAGTCTGTGTGGTGATTCTGTGTAGACTTGGTAAGTCCAAACTTTGCCAACACGTGTCCTCGGCTAGTCTGTGTAGACTTGATAAGTCCAAACTTTGCCAACACGTGTCCTCTGCTAGTCTGTGTGGTGATTCTGTGTAGACTTGATAAGTCTAAACTTTGCCAACACGTGTCCTCTGCTAGTCTGGTTTACATTATTAGTTTTCCATATTTGTCAAAGATTTTTACATTGGTGTGTATAGCCCTGTATTAGGTGTGTACATACCTGTATTGTATGTGTATAACCCTGTATTGGGTGTGTATAACCCTGTATTGGGCGTGTACATACCTGTATTGGATGTGTATAACCCTGTATTGGGTGTGTATAACCCTGTATTGGGTGTGTATAACCCTGTATTGGGTGTGTATAGCCCTGTATTGGGCGTGTACAGACCTGTATTGGGTGTGTGTACAGGCCTAAAAACTGCAGTTATCTTTAGGTGAACAAGCTCAGTTCCAAACACTATGCATTAAGTGTTTCTTCACATACAGAAATAGTTTCTGAAAAACTACAACCTGAAACTTCACAGAGAATGTCGGCTAAATAGAAAAAAAACAAAAACATTAAAATCCTTTTTGGTGATTTAAGAAGGAAGAGCTTTAAACAGACAGACAGACAGAATTTTTTGAAGTTAAGTATGTTCTGTGTATCTAGAATGCTGTTAATGGTCCACAAACTGACATTGAATTGTATAGTTTAATAAAGTTCTAATTACGTAGTTTATGTAGAGGAATTTTAAAAAAGAAGACCACATCCAAATGAAGCAGATGTAGTTTTGAAAGTCTGTCTTGTACATCTGTATTATGCTCTTTATTAGTTGTGGTTAATGTTTTTTTGTAGTTTAAGGAAGCTACAGAGCGTGAATATTTTGTCTGTAAAAGTGTTTCTCCAAGTGGATGTCTGTTTCGTTATAACGTACTAACAGTTCCAACTTGATGTAAATTTTTTTTGCCAAACATGTTTTAAAGAAGTAAACATCCAAATTATATTGTGAAAGTATTGTCACAATATTCAGTTTTCTGAGAAAATAACCCGTCAGGTTATTCGCTTTAGATAAGCCTGTCAGAAAAGAAACCGAATTAGAATTTTCAACTTGGTTAACTTCATGCGAGAATTATAATGATGTGATAAGGCAAAGTTAAGTAATGTTGACATAACTTATTTTCGGGGCGTTAAATCTAATACGTTGGATGTTAGGAATCTGAAAGTACAGCCTCGTTTTCGTCATTTTATATTTACTAGCTTTATACAATGTCTAATATGTAGTCATATTATTTTACGTATTGAAGTGTTGTGAATTGTATTAAATATTTGAATTAAATTTACTTAAGTTTAGAAAGGTATCTGATTGCGTTTGACACTCAGAAAATCACTTAATTTTATTTTTCTCCTTTACAGATACCTGATATGGGGGGGGGGATCTCACATAGGTTTGTCATTTACATGTATGTATATATGTATATTAATATCTCTGTATTTAAAATGTCAAAAAATCTGTTAGTAAACGTGTAAATAAATCCCTGTCATAGTATTGTGTTTGGTTTAATTTTTGCTTGTAATAAACTACGATGTGGGGAAAACAAACAAACCGGGCATAAATAAGTGGACTCGGGATTGGCTGAGCACATGTATTTATGTATTTAGCTTTTTGCGGTATTCTGCTTAGTTGATCTGTAATATCTTTTACATTATTACACTTTTGTGATAGGGCGGGCCAGAGACATACCCAAGAAAACTTGTTCAAGACATTAAAAATAGAATCAAAGCCGAATGTATCATTCAGTTTACCACTTGTCACCGAGTTGCACCGTTTCTCTCGAGAACTGATGGATCTGGCTCCATATTTATTTTTAGCAACTTTTGTGTGTGTGTGTGTGTGTGTGTGACCATAGCTCAAAACGTTCCATGACAGGTCATAGGTTATGATTAAGAAGTTACAGATAATGTTACTTTTAGATGGTCTAATTTTGCAGTTACCATTCTCGGGTCTTTATAATTTGTAAGTCTGTAAATCTGCTACCAACCTACCAAGGAACCGCAAGGACAATACTATAAAAGATCGGTCACTGACCGTAGTGACTACATAATAGTTATCCTAATATTATTGTATGATTTTCAACTACTAGTCAGAGGAAGGACAGTCAGTCAGCAGTAGCCGAATAAAGGCTATTGACTGCGTCTATTGTAACAACTAAAAGTGCGGGATGTCTTAGGTACCTCCCACTTAAAAGCCCCCCCCCCCCCCGGTGGCTCAGTGGCAAGTCTTGGGGCTTATAACGCTAAATACCTAGTTTCAATACCCGTGATTGACAGAGCACAAATAGCCCATTGTGTAGTGAACAACAAACAAACAAACCCACGTAAAACAAAACGTAAATATATCTAGAAAACATTTTTTTTTCTGTTTTTAAGTACGTCCTTACACGTCACTTGATCTTTCTTTCCTTGTACTACCGACAGTCCTCATCCCTTTTTCTACAACCTTTTCTATTATGTGTATAATGATAATGTCATAGTATTATGAAAGTTGTTAACACGTTTCGATTAAAGGTTACCATTTTTATAGTAGAAAGTTAATACCCGGAAAATCAACGGTTAACATATCATCAGAGTATGGAGTCACGTCTCCTATACAAACGGTGATGAGTTAAAGATGATACAGAACCTTTAAGTAACCAAACTACTCACTCTTCCTCGTTTTTTCTTTGAAATCAAAATAAGATCTGGCATGGTCAGGGCACACGACTCGCGATCTTAGGGAGCGTTATAATGTGATAGTCAATCCCACTTTTCGTTGGTAAAGAGTAGTCCTAGAGTTGGCAGTCGATGATATTGACTAGCCGACTTCCCTTTAGTCTATCACATCAAAGTTATGGACAGATAGCCCTCGAGTAACTTTACACGAAGTCCGAAACAAAACATCAAAATAATCTTTACAAGAAGTCATAATAGATGGCAGCACCGTGACAAATAAATTATGGAAATTTCTAATATGTGATGAAATCAACGAACAGAACCAACCGACTGAGAACGGAATTTTTGTTATGAGACCAGTGAAACAGAAAAAGAGTCTATGGTCTTCTATTAATTATGCAAATTATAATTATTTTTTTTTCCTAATCAGGTCTCGCTTTAATGACAATTAATATATTTATCTTCTTTCAAGTTAAATAAATTAACAAATATTAATTTTCTCTCCATGTAATTCGTTCACAATTGTTATATTAATTAACAGGTTACACTTTCAATACTCGCGGTTGACACAGCCCATTGTGTGGCTTTGTGCTTAACTGAAACATTTTGCACAAACTATATATCCCCCC